CGTCTTTAAGTCAACGAATTACCTTATACCGCCATCTGTTAGAATCTTATATATTAATCTTAGTATATATCAATTGAACATAAAGTTTAATATAAATCGTAAAATATAAGTAAGTTAATATTAAATTAAAAAAATCAGAGAGAGAGAGAGTGTAAGATAAAACAAACATACACATCTTTGAAAAAGCAAATCAATCTTTTTTATTTTTTCTATTTTCTTTCTTGAATCGTTAGTTTTAGTTTTCACTTGAGTTAGTATGTCTTTCGAGAAAGTTCGATAGTTCTTCCAATCGTACACGGAGTTACCGAGGTGAATATACAGTTAAAGGATCCGTTCCGTCCATCTCTTTCAACGTATCGAAATCGATCTAGACGTCCAAAGACGTTTGGGGTTAAATAAGATCGGCATCGATTTAAATTCAATATTCTCGATCTATTTTTTCCTAAAAAAAAATAAAAAAAAAATAAAAAGAGAAGAAAATGTAAAAATAAAGGAAAATGAACGTACGAAGGTAGAAAGAAGAAAACGCAAAGTGCATATCGATGGCTCGAGTCACGAAACTGGCTTAATTAACCGCTACGAAAACTACGTCGTTTCGTTATATTTTAGAAGAGAAATTCTGGTAAGAAGAGAGAAAGAGAGAGAGAGAGAGAAAGACAGGAAGAAAGAGAATGAAAGGGGGGAGGTGTAGTTAAAGGGTTGAAAGAGGAAATTGCCTCGACGAAACGAAGCACGAAACGGTGCGTCTAATACGCGCCACTGATAATCGTTACCTACCCTCGAAGGAAATTCACGAACGGGGGGTGTACGGTGGTAGTTAGTTTGAGGTAGGTATAGGGGATGGTAAGGGGTGTCAAAAGGTGGCCAATGGTGGTTTGTTAAAATGAGGAAATTCGAAACTCTTGTAGAAAACGTTAATTATTTATTCCTTCAGGAAGAATTCATTTATTCGTTAGAAGAATAGTAGAATAAAAAGAAGGAAAATATGATGATGGTGGTGATGATAATGATAATGATGATGATGGAAATGAAGCACACTCTTTGGATTATCTTTATTGCAAATGGACGACTATTAGAGTTGGATGGGCTGGATAAGATAAAGCTTGGAAGTAGCTTGCTATTTTTGTTCTTTCTTTCTTTCTTCCTTTCTATTCGTTAATTTTTATTATTATTATTATTTTTTTTTTTTTCTTATACTGACACTCATTGCAATCAAGAATTGATTCATTTGTTCTTATTATGGAATACATTTTTATACCTATTTCAGACATAATTAAGTTTTTTTTCTTCTTTTTATTTTTTATCATTGTTCGTGACTCAATTATAGAATCAATTATTTTATTGAAGTTAAAAATATTAAGAGTAAGGGGAGTACTTCTTCATTGACTTTTTTTTTTTTTAATATAAAAGCATATTTAATTGTTCTTATTCTTAAATATAATTATATGTTATTGAATTTTATCACTATTGTGTCTGTACATTTTATTAACTCAGTCATTGTAATGAAACATTTTCATTGAACATAGGGAGGGATAAGTTCATTTATATTTATTTGTTTCTTTCGTATTTTTATTTAAGAACTTATATCGTAATTGATAATTATAATATAAATATAATTGACAAGGAACAAATTAATTAGCTAATTATCTGTCTGTCTTTTCATATGATAAGTTTATTTTAAAACTAATATTGCATTAAGAATAAATTCATATCTCTTATCATTGTTAAATATAATTTTAAAGTTATTCTCGTTTATTCGTTGACCTAAATAATGTTCATTTATTCTCATCGTTATTAATTCATTTAATTATTATCCGGTAATTGACAAGTAACGAGCACGAAAAGTTACCTTTATCTCATTTCTTATTTATTCGTCTTATTATAGACGATACATTAAACAAGAAAAATCAATTTATATTTGTAGTTATTTTTTATAATTTTTTTTATTTTGCATTTTATATGTATAATTATAATTACTATTATTTATCTATATACGGTGTATAAATTAATTTAATTATTAAAAAGATTTTCATTTAAATTTTATTGAATGAATTTCAAGAACGATTGATTGATAAATTAAAATAAAACAGACATAATTAATAAAATGATGAAATATTATTAAAATAATAAATAATAAATGTGTATCGAATAAATAACATAAGGCAAAATCTTTCCTGAGAAATAATTAAATTTGTCTATAGTGTGTCATTTTATGGTTGTGTTGCCTTTTTGCATTCAAAACTCGTACAAATGCAAATGACGTTTTATAGAAAGAAAAATCTTTTTGTTAAAAAGTCAATAATAACCACGAAACACACCGAAAGCTTATTTTCAGACTCTCTCTTGTTTTAAAGTGGAAACTACGGTTCCGAAAAAACCTATGTAAAAAGATCTTTTTATATTTTTCCGTCAAACATCAAGCACCACGACTTTTGCCAAGCTGAATTTTGAATAAAACCTTTTTGAATGTTTATTAATTCAGTAATTAGTCAGCTTATAATTTCAACGTAAAATTATTTTACAAACCAATGGAACTTGGTTTTTCATTCTGTTTAATTTTTGACGCAAAACGTGATTTTTTTTTATTTATATATGGTTGTGTGTGCGTGGGTGTGTGATAAATTTCTTTATCGATTACAATAAGAAATGAGTTAAACGAATCCTGATTAAATTCTATATTGTTTGTTAACCCTTTGACTGCTAAAGGCGTATATATACGCTCTCACAAATCCATCAATATACACGAAAGGCGTAAATATACACCCTCTGTATTTTTTTACTATAACACCTTTATTGCTGTTTTACCGATTAATTTAACATGGAATTTATTGTGATATGTAACATAGCAACTAAATATTGGCAATTATTTCAATGTCGTTTAATTAATTGCTTTTATATTTGAAATTCGTCGTTTATTTTAATTTTATTATCTTTATTCGTTCACATTATCGTTTTATTATTTTTATAATTAGATTAAAATTATTAAAATATTCTGTTAAAATTCTTATAAATTTAAATAATCCGATTATTATTGAAGGAATGCACAAAATAAATAATGTAAATTAAAATAGCTTAAAAAATTACTATAAAAAATTGAAAAAAAAATTCATATTTTTATTTTATTTGCCATTATTGTTTGTTTTGGTCAATAGTCAATGGAAAAACAGTTGTAGCGTTAAATGTTGAAACGAGTTACAATAAATAATCAAAAAATAATTGAATTACTTTCAAATTAAACAGAATACATGATACAATAAAAATCGAAAGAAAAGTATAAATCTGTTTTATCAAGACACAACTTTTATAAATTTTTATTGCGTCCGAATAGTATAATAGTTTATTAAATTTTTGGAACAATAGAAAATTTAACAATAGAACAATAGACTTTAGTAGACCAATCAAACAATAGAAACACGAGTCTATTATTAGTACGTCTAACAATTTGACAGGAAAATCCAATAACAAAATATTTTTGGACTGTTTTTTTTTTTTTTTTCATTTCTTATCATTTTACAATATAATAATTTAATTATGAACTTACGTATCGTATCAAATAATATTAATTGACAAAATTTCTTACTATAATTACATTTTGTGTCCAAAATATTCATTTGAATTAATTGGATCAAATGTAAGAATGTATTTGATATATATTTGTATAATTTTTCTGCAAAAAAAGAAAGAAAAAAACTGGACATAGCAATATAACTTGAGAATGACCGTATATTCTGTTCAATTGGAATATAACGAAATTTTATTTAACACGACAAAAAACCAATTTATTTTTATTGCATTTGTCGAACTACGTACTTGAAAAAAAAAAAAAAAATAAAAAAAGAGAGAAGAAAAACATTTGATGTGTTTGTTATTATTTTAGGTTTATTTAATATGACAAAAAAAGAAGACAATTTTCTAGACAAAAAAAAAAATGTCCTTCATGATAATTCTAAATACAATTTCAAATATAGAGATGTTGAAATCAAATAGTCGTTTAAAATCTACGTATAGATCTACAAATATTCCATTAAAATACTATTTAAAATTATACATCGATATAAGAAGAAAAATACGTGTATTTTTTGACAGGTGTTTTTTTTTTTATGTTCAACCCGATCAACGATATATCACGACGACTCACGCTATACCGTAGAAATGAAATAAATCATTATGAAGATAAAACCAAGAAAAATATTTTATCTTTATAGATAAAAATTCATTGTCACAATGTTGGTTTCCAATGAACTTCAAAACTACTGAAGAAATTAATGAAATATTGTTTATTTTGCTTAATTTTTTTCAACTTTGAATATAGGATAATTTTTCTGTATATAATTTTACGTATTCCATTCTAAGTGTGGTATTATTTTTTATGTTGTATTAATTTGCTAAATAATTTAGAATTATATTAAATCAACATCTTATAACAAAGGTACAGCAACGCGTGGCCGGAGCATCCAAGTTTATATCTACAATTTGAATAACAACAAAATAAACAAACAAAAATCTAATTAGTATAATTTAACAATAACGCGAGTCCCAAAACACGAATATTCCCAGTGTATTATATTCTACTGGAATCGTGGAATCCCGAAGGCAGGAAAAAGGGAATGGAATGGAAGGGTGATTCAAGAGGAAAACGAGAAAGAAAAGACGAAGATGGAAAGAAATAGGAAGGAAGGGATGAAGAAGGGTTATTTTAGTCTCGAAGAGAGGAACGTACATCTACGACGACGCACGTAGAAAAGGAGAACACAAGCGGTGCTCGAATGATGAGACGTGTCATCAGATAGGGATAGAAAGAGGTGATGGGAGGGGATTGGATGGTGGATCAGGGACATGGATCGTGGATAGGGGATCGGGGACGAGAGGGTTTAGTAAGAGTACAAGAAGGGGATGAAAAGAGAGATGGGATTCGGTTATAAGGGTGGCAGCGCTGCAACGGCCAACCCTGGAAACTCAGACGGGGTTGGTCCGACAGGTCTCTCAGTCGCGGACAAGCCGCAAACGCGAAGACAACATTTCGCGCGCGATACTAACCAACATTTATACATATATATGTATATATGTGTATATATATATATATGTATTTGTGTATGTATATATACATACATATATATATATATATATAAATTTGTTCGATAAATATTCTCGTTAATAACGCGTAACAATCTAAACAAAATTGTCTGCTGCATTATTTATCATCTTCAACGTTAAATCCCATCTTCCGGAAAATTGTCGTCTATAATAAAAAGAAGAAAAAAAAAATCCATAAAAAAAAGTAAATATTCAATATAAGATATAATAATTGATATTCCAATGAAGATCGTTTTAGAAAAGTTATTAGGAAATTTTTCGACAAAGGGTCTTGTTGAATAACCACGTGGTTTAGATCGTTCAGTTGAATTAATGCTATTGTTTAAGTACATCATTGTTCTCGTCATCAATCTATTAATTTTATCGATGGTTGTTTTATTATTTTTCATTTAAATTATTAATCAGTCGATCTACATTGCTTTTTTCTTTTCTTTTTAATATCTTTTAAATGTTTTTCAATAAACCTTGCTAAGAGTCTTTTTTGATATATGTGTTTCTTTCTCTTTTTTTTTTTTTTTTTTTTTTTATTTTCTTTAATACAGTTCGGAGATCGTAAAAATAATATTGACGATTGTTTCGTTTTTTATCACGATTAAAGTTTGAAATATACTTCGATCTCGTAAAGGGTTACGACTTAACTCTCAGCGCGCGTAACTGTCGAGCTTGTGTATGATAGAGTATTGCATATAACTTTTGCATTGCTTAAAGTTATGGCATATGAGTGAATTTTTCATGAAACCTATCATCATTTTCTTCCCCCGGGTTTTCTTTTCATTCTTTCTTACTTTTTCTACACACTCACACACAAACACACACACACACATACGTACACATAAAAATAGTTTCTAAGTAATCATTGATAGGATAAATAATATCGTGACGATAAAATGTAACAACCGAAACTATTGATTTTCTTCGGAAACAAAGTCAACGAGAGATACTCACCTTACGGGACAACTTTGACACGAGTACTAATCTTGGATTTTATTTCTTTGAGTTAAAGAAGAAGAAAAACGTGAAAGAGGAAGATGAAGAAAAAGAAGAAGAAGAAAAAAAAATAATAAGAAAGAGAAAAAGAAAAAGAAAAAGAAAAAGAAAAAGAAAAAGAAAAAGAAAAAGAAAAAGGAAGATCGATAACTTTGGTTCCACTTTTACGTTGCACTGGTCAGTTTTGTGGATGAAAGTGCGCGCTCGTGCTATTGGCTACTACGACGTACTACACTTAAAGCAGTAACACGAACAGCTCTCAATTTTTTATTTGGAAAATCCGGTTTTATGTTATCTCCTGCTAACCCGAACGTTTCCAGACAAGAATATTATTTTCGATTCGATAATTTGTGACGAAATAAAAAATTAAAAAATTGAAAGAAAAAAAAAAATATAACGAAAGGAAACAATTCGTGTGCTATCGTAATTTTCGAAATTTGTTCTCCTTTCGTTTTATGACTCCGACCATTTGTATCATTTTTTTGTTTGTATTATTATCTTTTTCGAATATCTTTATCTTTATACATATATATACCTATATAGATTGGACAATTTTACCGAGGACCGATAATTTGTGATGAAAAAATACGAAATGGGAAAGATAACCGTACCAATTTTTATTCGAATATAAAAAAATATTTTTCATCAAAATTTTTTCCTATCACTTTTAATATTACTATTTTTTCTCTTCTTTATATATATATTTATTCCTATAGCAAAGATGTTCGCCACACTCTCAACGTTTACCATTTTTCTATTTTTCCATTTTTGTTATTCCTCGTTCTTTTTCTTTTTGTTTTGCTTCGTTAAAAAAATATTTATATATTCTATTAGAAACATTTTTTCCCGTTTTTCTCTATTTTTTCGTTACAATATTTTTCAATCTTTTCTTTTATAATTTTATATCGCGATGTATATATATATATATATATATATATATTATATATAAAAACGTATCTTTTTTCAAGAGAAAAGAAAGAAATAAAGAAAAATAAGAAATCAAGAGAATCTATTCTTGTATCATATATCATATCGAACGTAAGATTCGATTTGAGTCAAAAGAGAAGACACATACTCGCGAAGAGGATCCTCACGTCGTTTTTCAGAAATATATCGTCTCTCTCTCTCTCTCTCTCTCTCTTTCTTTCTTTTTTTATTTCCTTCTTACATTTTTCTTTGCAAAAGAAAGATATCATTCTCTCGCATTTAGTGATTTTCTCTCTCTCATATTCGACGAGTCAATGATCATTAAAACTCAAGTTATAGATAACAGCTCATTTCTTTTTTTTCTTCTTCTTCTTCGTTCGACTACTAGCAATTAACGTCATATAACATTTTGCCACGCCTACTACTCGTTGGGATTCGACAATACCAAAATTTCAAGGATGACACGTTCCCATCGCGAATTCGTGAGAGAACATTTAAACTACTATAGTCATTCAAGAACTCATTCTAATCCAAACTCCTCTTCTCCTTCTTCCATTTCCACCATCACTTCATTTTCCCTTCTAATAATACTTTTCCTTTTTCAATTTATAATTACATAGAGAGTTTAACTGTGTAAAAGGGCCAAATAATTGTGTCAAATCGAAACTCGAAGATTCTTTGTACTACTGTGTCGTGTAATAATCCGAACGTATTTCAGAACATTTCTTTTGAAAGAACATTATTTCCCGCGTAATCGAAGTGACTCTCGTGTGTCCTTTCTATTCTTCTTCTTCGGGTTGGTTTCTTCAATAGAACCCTTTTCTTTTTTTACTTTTTTCTTTTACTTTTGACTGAACAATCTTTCTATCTCTTTCCCACTTTTTTTTCTCTCTTTTCTTTTCTTTCATTTTTTACCACGTGATAGCGCAAGTACTTCGAGTAAGTACTTCTTGGCTTCTTTCAAGCTTTTTTTTTTTTTTTTATCGTGAACCTTTTTCAACGAGTAACCACATAATTTAATCACTCGATTTTACTATCAGATATTTGCTCTTTACTTGATCAAGGAATATACACAACATCAGAGAAAAGTATTCCTCGATAGATTGAAGTTCTATCCTTTCTTTTTTTCTTTCTTTCCTTCCTTCTTTTTGCAACATTTGTTTGAATCGAGATAAAGATTACTTTAATAATTTAACAAATTTACCAAGTTACATATATTACAATAAAACATATATTGTGTGTAACTTGATATTACGCGAGTTGATAATCATCCACGAGTAGTCAATCAAATAATTTACATGGTATATAAATGATAATGATAAAATATATTATCATTATTCAATTTAATTAAATAATTAAACCATCTCTCTTTCTTTCTTTCTTTCTCTCTCTCTCTCTTTCTCTCTCTCTCTCTTTCTCTCTTTTTTTGAGACATTTTTTATTTCATAATTAAAAGTTGGAATGATATTAACACCGATCACATTTAACCCCTTAAGCAGCACGCTCGAGTTAACTCGAGCTTCGTATTATTTTATATTTCTATGATATTTTACACTCAAATATAAAAAAAAAAAGAAAATTGAAAATAAGAATGTGAAAGCAAAGAAAAAGAATTGTTTTTTTTTTCCGAAATGGTCATTTGAAAAGAAAGATTAAAAAGTTGACGTACGTGTATCATTACAATATTTGGCTCTTTTCTGCAATGTGAAACAAAATCCAATATTAACATAAAAATATTGATTGTTTCCGTATTTAAAAAAAAATTTTTTTTTTTTATCAAAACAATGTTCTAAATTATGTTTCTATGCAGAAAAAATGGCAAAAATGATTTTTTTTTGCCTTTTTCTTTTTCAAAATCATCGCTGCTTGCTTAAGGTGTTAAATCCGTATTCCCAAAAGCTTATTGCAAAAAACCCGAATGTTATAATTACGATGACAAATAAATAATAAAAATATGTAAAAGATTGAAAGAAATTATTCATCAGGTGTTTCTTATGTTATCTATCCTATATATATATATGTGGATACTTTTTCATTCTCGTGAAAGAGTAAAACGGTAAAAATAAGACCCAATTACATCTCGTTTGTGCAAAATTGGAGGAATATATACAGGACGTTTAAGACTCCTTAACTACCTCAGGATTTGTACCCTAGCATCAACCACCATCCCTTTGGGAATTCCTCTCGACTATCTTTACCGGATCCTTCCACCACCACCATCACCACCATCACCACTTTTTTTTTTTTTTGTATTTTTAATGTCAAAACGACTTCTTTTATTTCTCACTTTTTTATTCCTTTAATATTATCGAATAAGAGAAAAATAAAAATTCAAATTTACCATTTTATCTATATATGTATAATTTAGTTCTATTTTTAGTATCATCTTATTATCATTATCTCATTTTCCCTACCTTTATTGGTCAATCTTAAGTTGGGTCTTTTTTATTATTTTTTTTTTTTAACGTAACGAGTTTTTCTCGATACCAAGTTTGACCTACGAAAAGAACTTTTCTCTTTTCTACTCTAACATTTTTGTACGTTGCTGCTACTGCTGCTGCTTCACACTATTTTTTTTTTTTTTTTCCATTTAATAATATCATCGAAATTCGTTATAATAATCTACTTATTAGTTTAATATTATATTGAGTTTATTTAGTTATTCTTTTTAACTAATCCCTCTTTTGTTTTCTTTCTTTTTATCATTATCTCATCTTGTTTTCCTTTTATCGATGTTTTTTCTTTTTGTTCCTTTTTTTTAATCAAAAAAACGTACTACTATTATTGTTATTACTACTACTACTACTACTACTACAGGTTTTTAATTTTCAATTAAATTTTGGAATTCAATATTCTACCTTTATCTTTGTTAAATTTTATTTTGAAATTGTAATTACAAATATCGTTATGTTTAGTATTTGATAAAATATTACACAATATCATATCGTTAATGAACATTCACTTTTTCTCTTTTTTTCTTCTTTTTTTTTTTTTTTTTGTAATAAATTTTTCCCACCCCTAAAAGATTCGGCCTATGAAATCAAGTTTTATTTTGTCTTTTTCTCTCTCATTTTTTTCTCTCTCTCTCTCTCTCTCTCTTTCTCTTGAAAAGTAGAACATTGCACTTGCAGTCCAATAATCGTGTCCTTTTCATTCTACACAACTACATATAGCATGTTACTTTTACATATGCGATCGAACACACACGCGCGGTACAAGCACGCGCATCTCCCTTTCCCCCCTTTTTTCCCCTTTTAACCCTTCCTCCTCGATCTCCTCTTCCTCGCTAATTCACAAATCGATATATTCCGAGCAAATGCGATTGTGAAAATTGCATATAACAAATGAGCATCAAGCGGAAAGGAAAATCGTCGGTTAATATCACGCGTGTATTATAAATTTGTTTCATTAGCATAAATTGCATAGATTCGAGTTAGTTAAGAGAGAGTGGTGGTGGATGTGGTAGCGTAGGTAGGGTTGGGGTGGATTAAAACAACCATCATGGTAAAATGAGGAACAATTTGATTTTCATTTATTATTATTATTTTTTTTTTTTTTACATTTTTTTAATTGTAAAATGGACACAGATAGGAACAATGATATTATTTAGTTATGTAGTTATGTGTTAAATATTTCCAATATATATATATAAATTACAATTGACAATTTCTCTTTTATGTTTCAGACAGTCCCCCCCAAAAAAAAAGAATAAGAAAAAGAAGAAGAAGAACTTAAAAATAGAAAAAAAAAAGAAGAAAATAGTGAAAAACTTTTCATAGAAATGACTTAGATGTTAGATAAAAGGAATGAAATAAAAAGAAGACAAGAGGAAAATCAAGGATAGAACGTTTTGACGTAAGTGTATCATCATTGGTGTATACTTTGTGTATGTGTATGTTTGTGTAAAAACGCGTGGGTGAATCTGTAAAAAAAAAAAAAGAAAAAAAAAAGAAAAAAGAGGAAAAAAGAACGCTTATCGAAAGAATGAAAAATACTTTGTGAAAAGAGGGTAGGGTTAGTTAAAGAAAAAAAAGAAAAAAAAGAAAAAAAAAAGAATAAGCAGAATAAAAAGTATAAGAATAAAAAGAAGAAGAAGAAGAAGAAGAAGAAGAAGAAGGTAGAAACCAAGGGATAATATTCCGTCATCGATTAAATGTATACCACGATCCGTGCTTAATGGAGCGAGGTCAAGGCGAGTGCCGTGTACGAGGAGGATGACGAGAGGTGCTTATTGGAGGACGAAAATTAAGAAAAAAAAGACAACGAAGACGTTGAGAAAGAAGACGAGAACGTTTCTGACGATCATTGGAATTACATTTATTAAAAAGACATCTGTTACGAGAAATAAAACGAAAAATATTACAAACTCAACTATAATTAAAAAGAAGAATACAAAGAGGTGGTAAATCGAATTGTGTGAAAAGTTTCACATCAGCTTTATTTCATTTTAGTTTTGATGTTGTTGTTGTTTTTTTTTGTTTGTTTTATCTTTGCATTACATAGATCGAATTGACGACGACAGATATCACCTGTTCCAACCTGAGATATTCTCTCGTGTGACCACTGTCCATCCCATTATCTCATCTTCCCCATCTTTCTCTCTATCTCTCTTGCTCTCAATTCGTGTGTCTATATCTAACACATACACTATATAGATACACGTATGACACGTTCTCCTCTTGCAATTCGAAGGACCCTCATACGGGTAATTTGGTAAACGTATCGATCTTCCTACTCTAAATGTAGGTGGTGATAATTTATAACGTTGTACATGAGAACACCTATAAATGTATGTAATACCTGTCAGTAATTATCTCATTTTTAATTCGATTTTAATTTACAAATTGAACTCAAGAAAAATATATACATAAATTATTAATATTTTATTTCATTATCATTAATATTATTAATTTATTCAATTTTCCAATAACTCAAAGTAATTTTAATAGAACAATCATGTTTACATATTATAAATGTAAATGATACATATGTTTCTCTATGATATAAATTTTTTTTATTTTGGTGAACGCGAAATACAATTAATTTAATTATTATTTTTATATATAAATATATATATAAACGTTGTTTAATAGATTATTCGTAAAAATTTGACAAACATTTTCTACACGTATATTTTTGGACACGTGCCGAAAAAAAACGTACAAAAACGTGTTGTACGTATATACAACTATATATAGTGTTATCATTCGTGTGCGGTGATACGTAAGAATCGTTTTGAGTTCTCGCGTGTGTGTTATTCCGTGTCTGCATGTATATATGTATACAAGAAAGAAAAAGAAAGAGAGAGAAAGTAAAAAAAAGAAATTGTATCTCTTCATCCTATATCCTCTTACCAAAACCTCTCTCCATTTATCTATTTTATTTTATTTTTTTATATATATATTTTCTCCATCTCTGATTTGTGTAAGTACATACGTGCTTGTCTGCCTTCCTGTCTGTCTGTCTGTCTGTCTATCTGTCTGTCTGTCTATGTTTTATCCAACTCGAGCGAAAAAAGTCGTTAAAGAAAATTTGAGAGAATAAAGAGAGACGGGGAGAGAATTGAGAGAAAGAAATAAAGGATCTTACTTACCAAAGAAGAAAGAGAAAAAGGGGTGAAAGGGGGAGAAAATAGGGAGGGCTGTGAGAGGATATATTTTCCGGAGACGCGGAATATCGCACGTAATATCGCGCAAAACGACGCGACAGCCGAGGAAAAAGTACGAACACGGGAAAGCAGATAAGCGTTAAACTGCCGAGAAGAAGGTGTAGATAGAGAAGAGGCAAGGGGTTGGGGGGTTGGCGGTGAACGGGGGAGAAAAAGGAGGAGTAGGAGAGAAAGTAGTGTACGCGCGTGTCACTCCTTTCCTGGATATATATATATATAGATGCACGTATAGATGTACATGTGTGCATATATATATGTGTGTACGTGTAACTTCGTGTGTATGTGACAGTGTTATTTACCAAGTACCACGTCGCGCGAGTGACTGACAATAAACGGCGTCTAGCGGAAAGGAAGACGCGATTTTCTTCAATTTTCACGCGTCTCTTTTCTCCCCATCCCTTCTCACCCCTTTTCTCCACTCAGCTCTCTCTTTCTCTCTTTTTCATATTTTTTTTTTTTTTTTACATTTTCTTTCCTTCTCACATTCATTTTTTTGCGTTTTCTCTCTCTCATTCTCACTCACTCATACCTTTAACCTTCTCTCTCTTTCTCTTTCTCTTTATTTCTCTATCTTCATCTATTTGTTTCTGACTCGGCGAAGAGGAAACTCAGATATATCCGGAGATTTTTACGAGAAGAAGGAAGAAGAAGGTGGGAGGAAAGGTGAAACGGCAGGATGGAGGACCGCCGTGGTAGAAAGTGGCTCTACGCCGTTTTGCATCTACTGACATTTCTCTACAGGCACGCTGGTGAGTTCTTTTTCACTCTCTTTTCTTCTTTTTTCTTCTTCTTTTTTTTTTTCCTTTTCTTTTACGTACAGGTAATATGTGCATATATGTACATTTTATCTTCGCGTTTGTGCTGTTGTTGTTTTTTTTCTCCCTTTTCTTCTTCTTCTTCTTTTTTTTGGTTCTCATACATTATATTTCCTTTTATCTCTAAGTTTATAGTATATCAAACAGATATTAACTCGTTAACTTGTGAAATTTCAAATATTTTTTTTTCCATCACTTATATATAATTTTTATATACAATATTTAAAAGTATTTAAAGAAATTGTAAATGCTAAACAACAACAAGTTTTTTTTTTTCCCCCATCATTTTCTACAACTTTTTGCCGAATTTAAAGGTGAAAATTGTTCGATTACCTTTTTTTTCTTTTCTTTTTTTCTTTTATAAAAGTCCTTCGAATTTTTTCATTGACGTATTCAAATTAAATGTGAATAAACTCAGTGAAGAAATTTTGATTACTTTTTTCGGTCCTCCGAATATAATTATTTATTATATGATATATTTATACATAAGATAATTTATATTAGAAAAGTAATTACGTGTAATTTGTCATGACAAGAGAGTAGTTACATGAATTTTCTTGGTTCAAAAGAGAGATGTATTTTTAAATAAAAAAAAACACAAACAAACATTAATATCGTTTTAATCGATTAATATCAAGAATGGAAAGGAAAGAAAAAAATAAAAATAAAAAGAACCGCGTTATGCAATGCATCGTAAAAATTTAGATAAGATAAATTCCATGGAACTTTTATCTTATTCTTCGAGAGAGTCAGAGATCGAAATTAAAATACGTTGAAGGTATTTTCATTTTATATTTTCACGCAATTCTTCCAGAATTACGCACATAGAAATATCGCGTAATATTCTCTGGAATTTTTCACACTCTCTCTTTCTCTCTCTCTCTCTCTCTCTCTTTCCTTTCTCTTTCTCTCACATTTTCATTCATTAGTCCGTCGACGACGCTGGCATTTTTTTCTTTAAATTGAAAAGCCTTTTACATTCTATCCGAAAGGATTTTATTATATTTAACTATGTATTAATAATCTTTTACTTAATTTCTTCCCACATACATAACATATATACAATATATCTATATATATGCATTTATCGTTTTTCTCCCTTTTTTCCCTTCATTTCTTTTATTTATTTTTTTTTCTTGTTTTTTTTTTTTTTAAATTACTTTTTACATTTTTCTTCAAAAGAGAAAAACCGAATGGTAAATTAAAATTTGTATCGTTCGAACGAAATTACAATTTTCTGTACATGTGTTCGAATATCTATTATCATATTCAAAATTATTCAAACATTAATAGAGAATTGTTGTAATATATATCATAATAATCAATGATGACTAGCGATGCAAATATTAGTACAAATTAGTGATAAAATAATTAAATAATTTAAAAAGTATATAAATGAAATAATATTAAGTATCATATTTAATATAACAATCTGGTGAATAATTAGGAAGTTTAATCTTATTTTAATATTAAATAAATTTATTCTATTTTTATAAATAATAATATTAGTGTTGCCAAAGAATTCGAATTTAACCCTTCTTAAAGTGCACACTTTTTAAGATTACGTTAAAGTGCACTGTGGGTGTTTGACACCTCAACGTTTTAGAACGAGTTTCCTGAAGCCGCTATTTAATATTTAGATCTCGCAATTTTTTTTAAAAGTAGTTTGATACATCTTTTTTCAAATAGAATAGGTTTTATTCTGCCATCTGAATTAACACTAGATGGCAACACTAGACAAATAACCTATTTTTTCGAATTCAGTACCGTTTTCGAGAGATCAAAAATTTGTTGGGGTGTCAAATACCAAGTGTGCACTTTAAGGATTAAATTAGACAATATTTTAGTATGGGGTTTGCTTAATTCAACAATATGTTATAATATAGCATTAAAAAAAGAAAAAAAAAACAGAATCTAATAATTATAATACCATTTATTTTAACGAGAATGAATAAAAAGTTAATTGACATAAGTATGTTAAATTTCTAATGATAATAGAGTTTGACTTAATCATTTTAAATAACATTTGACGACATATATTTATTCCCGTTATATAACAACAATTTCATTTCGTTATACGACAACAATGAATTTATAGAAAATTAGTTTGACATATTGAATGCATTAAACGTATGCATCATCAGAGACGCATTGATTTCGTCAGACGAAGTGTGAATAATCCGAAAATAATGAACCAATTTTATTTTTTTTGTTCGAATTTCTTCTTCCTGTAGAATTTAAAATATTTATTAAAGGCTATAGTTTTATTTAGATAAATATTATCAAAGTGAATTATTGGTTGGTAATACGTTCTCGTGTATACTCTTAATCATAATATCCAACAGATGCATGTATACTTAAGCTTGTCTAATGTCAATTATAAATAGAATATACGCATACACATAAACCTTTGGATATTTGCCTAGTGTGTACCTTATTATCTACACGCAACGTGTAATCGTGGTTAAGCATAAACCGATCCAAATGAACCGCAATTAGAGATCTGATTTAAATTCACGATTAAAACACAAATTAATAAGTTGATTGAAATTAGGGAATGTCTTATGCAATCGCTGTGATTAATAGTGCATCAATTAATATCATTTCTTCTAGTAATAAATGGGAGCTTTCCTAATTATCCTTTCAAAGTTTCCATTTCAATTCTAATTTCAAATAATTTTCATTATGATTTAATAATAAGTTCAGACCAATTAAAAATGATTTTGTAGAAATGTCTTATAAAAGTATTGTTAAAAAAAAAAAAAAAGCAAAAAATGATTGTATTATTATACAATCGTTCGAGTAAGAAGTAATTAAAATTTAGGGGATATTATTTGGATAGAAAATCATTAATCAGTAAGGAATAAGATGATCGTGTTTATTTTTTAAGTATGGATAGATAATTTTGCGTTGTAGGAGAGTACAAAAAGGGTCACTGATAAACAAGCTGTCGTGTTTCGCGACAGTGTACCTTTGAAATATTTGCTAGCACGAGCGCTTTAGTTATCGACAGCTGACGATACATGATGCAGTTCTAGTTTCTTAAACGATGAACGAAGCTGTTTGTAGTTTGTTTGCACTATCTTCTACTATGTATCGAACTAATTTGCATAAAATAAACGAAACCACCAATAAAACTTTATTTTACCATAAATAGATGAATATTCAATAAACTTGATCATTTGCTTAAAGGAAGATAATCTTTACGAATGAAGATCAAAAGTTTGGTAATATTGTTTTAAAAATAGTAGTACTAATTTTTATATATTATATTAATAATTATATTAAAAATTTTTACATATAGAAATACTAATGATTATCGATGCAATATCCTGATTTTTTTTATCGACATATTTTATTTAAATTGACATTTTTTGAAATATTGAAATTTTTATAGAATTTAAAACGAACTGGTAATATCGACACACTACTACGTTTTATTTAATTAATCGATATATCAAAAAGATTAGATTTCTGTCTAAAAAAAAAAAAAAGAATATTCTACGTGAAAAAAGACAAAATGAATTCTATTATGTATTTTCTAATTAAGACTATTGATAAAATCAATTTGTATAAATATTTGACTTAAACCATTGTCATAATTATCGAGACATTTATAATAAATATGATAATAAAGATTAATTAAACAACTTAGCGATAATATAACGATAATAACATCGATTTGCAACAATATTTATCACACCCTTATTCCCATCGTATTTAGTATTCGAGTATGGCCACTCATGCATAGTAAATACGAAAGCGTATCCCGCAGTAATTCGATAAAATGACGAGTAGTTTCAGCTAAAAAACTTCAAACTCGATTATCTATCGTGTCTCATTAACGCGTTAGCGTGTTACTTCCCTGCTTTTCTATCTCTCTCTCTCTCACTATCTCTCTCTAACTCTCTTTCCCTCTCTTATTTCATACACCGTTCACTTTGTTGCCTTAGGGAAAATAAACATCGTTCGAATTAACAGAACAAATTCTCCTTCTCTGTCCTTCGAGAATATATTTCTCATTCACTCTCTCCTTCTATTTTTCGTAGTATCTCTTTCTTTATATTTATCTTTTTTCTCTCGTTCTTTTTTTTTTTTTGTTGCTACCTATGTAACATATACTATTGTCCTTAACAACAAGTATACTTTTACTCTCTATCTAACTTTTCTAACATTGTAGAATACTTCTTTTATAAATATCAAAAGACATGTTTTTTAATTATAAAGTTTGCGTATTTAGGAAATTTATACTAATTTTTCAATAAAATAGAAAAGTTTGTAAGTACAAGAAACTTGATTACGAGGCTTTTCAACGAAACTTGTTACGAGACTCTTCTACGAGGCCTAATTAAACACACCCTACGGACTTATCGGAAAGACCCTACGGACTTATCTGAAAGACCCTACGGACTTATCGGAAAAAACCACGAACTTATCGGAAAAAAACTCACTACTTTTCGGAAAAAACCTCACTACTTTTCGAAAAAAACCTCACTACTTTTCCGATAAGTCCGTAGGGTCTTTCCGATAAGTCC